CAACTGAATGCCTTACCCACTATGCAACAAGATATTCTTCCTCATTAGCCATTAGTGAGATGAAAATCAAAACAACAATGAGACATCAACTCACTCCAGCATTAATATTGAGGTTCAAATAACAGAACCAGCAAATGTTGGAGAGGTTGTGAAGAAACTGGAACACTCATACACTGCTGGCATGACTGAAAAATGGTACAATGACTGGGGAAAATGGAATAGGACTTCCTTTAAATATTGGAAATAGAAATGGCATATGATCTGGTACTCCTGCTACTACTAGGCATATATCCTAGAGAAATGAGCTATGGCAAGAACAAATATATACACACTCATATTCATTGCAGCATTATTCGCAATAGTAAAAAGATGGATATAACCTAAGTGCACATCAATGATTGAATGGATAAACAAACTATGGTACATACACATAATAGAATACTATGCAATGTTAAAAAATACCAATGAATCTGTGAAAAACCTCATAACCTGGATGAACCTAGAGGACATTTTGCTGGGTGAAATTAGTCGATCACAAAAGGACAAACCTTGTATGAGACAAGTACTGTAAAAAGTCAAAAAGAAAAAGTTTACATACAGTAAGAAACATTCTTTGAAAGGTACCAGGGATGTGAGGGGAAGGAGAGTAAATTATTAATTAGAGGATGTAGTTGTTAGGCACCCTCAAGTTGGCTCCCACTCACAGTGACCCTATGTACGACAGAGAGAAATACAGGATGGTCCTGCACCAGCCTCACAATCCTTGCTATTCCTGAGCCCATTGTTGCAGCCACTGTGTCAATATATCTTATTGAGGGCATTCCCCTTTTTTGCTGACCCTCCACTTTACCATGCATGATAGCATGCATGCACTTTACTATGCATGACCTTCTCCAGGGAATGGTCCCTTCTGACAACATGACCAACTCAGGTGAGACGAAGTCTGGTCATTCTGACTGTACTTTTTCCAGGGCAGATTTGTTCATTTTTCTGGCAGTCAATGGTACTTTCAGTATTCTTAGCCAACACCACAATTCAAAAGCATCATCTCTTCTTATGCCTTCTTTATTCATTGTCCAGCTTTGACATGCATATGAGGCAATTGAAAACAACATGGATTGGGTTAGGCTCACCTTCGTCTTCAAAAAGACATCTTTGCTCTTCAGCACTTTTAGGATATCCTTTGCAGCAGATTTGCCCAGTGCAGTATGTCATCTGATTTTTTGACTGCTGCTTCCTGTGGTGTTGATGGTGGAAATAAGTAATATGAAATCTTTGACAATTGCAATCTTTTCTCCATTTATTGTGATCCTGCTTGTTGGTCCACTTGTGAGGATTTTTATTTTCTTTCTGTTGAGATGCAAGCCACACTGAAGACTTTAATCTTCATCAGTAAGTGCTTCAATTCATCTTCACTTTCAACAAGCAAGGTTGTGTTGTCTCCATATCACAGGTTGTCAATGAGTCTTCCTCCAATCCTGATGATCCATTCTTCTTCATATATTCTGGCTTCTCAGGTTATTTAGTCAGCATACAAACTAAAGGGTAGACACATTAACTTGTCTGTAGGGAAACAGAATATACAATATGGGGGAGGTCAACACAAAATGATCAAGGTGATGGAACACATTGGAGGAGCACAACAGTTAAAGGCAACAAAGGTAAAGACTATTACACATACAATCCTGTAACAGCAGTAATAAAAATAGGCTTTTAGTGGATACATAAATAGACACACAAACTGACCAGGGGTGGGAAGACAAACAAGACTGCCTATGACTATACACATGAATACAGACTATGCATGAGTATACATAGATTTGACAGAAGATATTTCTACATATGTATTTACATATAGTGCAAATATATCTGTGAATAGAGTATGCAGGATGCAAAGATAAGAAATTTTCTTAGCTGTAACCAAACACCTGAAGGAATAAGTTGCTGGGCCTGGAGGCTCAGCACAAAAATCTTGGAAGACTCTAAGGTCAATTGACATAACATAGTGCACAGACATAAGATTTTGTATCCTACTTTGATGAGTAGTGATTGGAGTCTTACAAGCTTCTGAGGGGTCATCTAAAGTGTAACTATTAGTATCTTCCTGCTCATAGCACAAAAGATAAACAGTGTAAAGAAACAAATGGCCCAAAGGACTTAATGGCCAATGTGAACCCCATCTTCCACTAACCTGAGACCAGAATAACTTGATAATACCCAGATACCATTGCTAACTGCTCTTCAAGTAACCATAATAGTAGGTCCTGGATAGAGTGGAAAAAGTTCAAAATCATAAAAAAAAAAGACCAGGCTTACTATTCTGATAAAGACTGATGGAACCCCCAAGACTATGGCCCTTAGATACCTGTGGTGCAGTGAAGTACTTGGGATGAGTCTTCTGGCCATGGTCTTTTGACTCCCATCACATGATTGGGTGGACCTATGCAAATGTAAAGGGTTTGTGGCTTATTTACAAAAAAACAAAACAAAACAAAAACCTCTCTGCCATTGAGTGGATTTGACTCATAGTGACCCTTCCTTGAGTTTCCAAGGCAGTATCTCTACAGATGTAGATTGCCCAATCTTCCTTCCAAGGAGTGACTGGTGGGTTTGAACCACCAGCCTTCTGGTTAGCAGTCAAATGCCTTAGGAGACCAGAAAGCTTGTTAATAATGTAAATAACTTACATGGCCTTCTTGTGTGTGGGTGGGGCTGTGCCAATAAAGTGTACGGAGCCCTAATATGAAAGGAACCCTAATGTGAGGTCTGCTCAGTTTTGACATTTGCTAGGCTTAAAATAAGCTATCCCAGGGATGAAAAAGGGGGATATAAATGTCATAAGATAGAAGAAGAGCCAGGAGTGGAGCATGTCCTTGGGCCCAAGAACCCTGACTGAGATGGTAGAGAGATGATGGCAGCAGTAGCAGTAGAACCAGGGACTGGCATGAGACAGAGTGGCAGGCTTGCCACCACCTATGAGAAAGCTGATTGTCTTTGGGCAAGAGGTATGCTGACATAATGGTTATACCTATTGGCAGAACTTAAGGAGCTTTATAACACCTGCTTGAGTAGGGCAGGGGGCAGGCTGAGAGATCAAGGGCCAAAGAGAGGTGTACCTGTAGGCATGGCAGAGGGGAGGCTGTCCTGATCAAAGAATTGTACCCTGAGCATTCCTGTATCTGAATTGTAACCTATTACTTACCTAATATACCCTATAATTATTAGTATTGTCTGTGAGTTCTCTGTGGTCATTGAAACGAATTATCAAACCCAGCATAGAAGTAGTGAGTGCTGTGGGAGAGAAGGTTGGTGTCAGAAGTGCTAAAAATGTTGGATTGTGGAGGTACGTCTGACTTTTGCCTCAAAGGAATCAGCCTTGGGCTGATACTGCTGATGGTGATTTTCTCTCCCCCTTATGAAGTCAGACGAGGCCAAAGGATGCCACCCCCATGCCTTTGTTTGCAACATACTTCAGGCCTGGGTCTGATCTCACCCCTTCACTCAACTTTCAGCCAAAAGACCAATCTATAAGGTGAACAGTAATAGTGGAGAGGCAAAAACCACTCTGAAAAATCAAAGTAGGAGATGAGAAGGGTGGGGATAAAGCTCAGAAGGCAAAAATGGATAATAAAGAAGGATAAACAGAAACAGGAAACACTGGAGGAAGGGGAAGAGTGTTGTTGCATTGTGGGGATTACCATCAATGTTACAAAATAAAATGTATATGAATTGTTGAATGGCGAACCAACTTTCTCTGTAATCTTTCACACAAATCACAATCAAAAGTTTAAGAATAAAAATAAAGAGTTTAGAATGCTTGTTCATTTTTAAAAAACAGAGATGCTAGAACAGTATGTGCTCCCATATCATTCTCAGAGCTCTTATCTTTGTATGATATTTGTGAGAAAATTGCCCAAAATAGAAAATGAATAAACAAAATTACAGGAGAAAGCACAAAATTTCATTGCCCCTTTATCCAAAAAACTCATATACCCATATAAACCTAACTTATGAAACTTCACATGACTCCTGATTGGTTGATTCAATCCAAAACTCTCCTATTACACAATAAAAATAGGAAGGTTTAATTAGAATGAATGTAGTCCTGCTGGCACAGTGGTTAAAGACCTGGTCTGCTAAACAAAGGGAGCTCTGGTAGCATAGCACCTAAGGCTCTTGACTGCTAAACAGAAGGCTGGCGGTTCAAACCCACCAGCCACTCCTTGGAAGGAAGGTTGGGCAATCTACTTTCGTAGTGATACTGCTTCGGAAACCCAAGGAGGGGTCACTATGAGTCGGGGCCGACTCGACGGCACATAACAACAACAACAACAAGCAAAACGTCACTGGTCTGAACCCATCAGCTGCTTGGCAAGTGAAGATGTGGAAATTTGTTTCAGTAAGGATTTACAGACTTGGAAACTCTTTAAGGCAGTTCTACTGTCTTGCATTGGGTCACTATAAGTCTGATTCAACTAAGTTACAGTGAGATATGAGTTGGATAGACTCAACAATAATGGGTTTAATTTTTGCTTTTAATCAGAATGAATAATTATTCTACATGCTTGAGGAACAACTGAGGCCTAATAAAGTTCTTGACTGATTTATTACACTTGAAAAGTCAACATAATTTTACTATTACATTAATCTTGATCTTTTTAAGTATTTAAAATTTGGGCTGAGAACTGTAGATACTTCAAAAAAAAAAAAAAAGAGAAGTTTTAAAACACATAATTAGTTGTGAATTTCCTCTCTAACTTACATATTTCATAGCTTTGTGAGAGGGGTCAACTTTTGTGTTCCATTTAGGAAAAGATCAATTCTCATTAAGCCATTTTGTAGAAAGTGAAGCAAAATCAAGAAGGAAATCATAGATACAGTTTATATTCTAAAAAAAAATAATCTTGACAATACATTTTTAATTTACTTCTCTAGGAAATAAGTGAAGAATGCTCAAGAGAAAATATATTCTCAGAAATGTTAAGATGAGGAAGCCTTTCCTAGAGTGTGGTTTTAAATTTCAGAGTCGATCCTTTCATTTCTTGCTCATAGTGCACATCAAATCTTTCATTCAGGGCTACTGTAAAGTGATTCTTCCAGTCTCCTACACACCCTGCAACAAAGGAGAAATAATAGAAAACATTAATTATACCTTTGAGCCAGAATAATGAGATTTTTGAATATTTATCACCTTCATTAACAACTAATCAAATTTTATTCTTACAATCCTCAATTTTTATTTTACTTCTATTGTAAATAACATCCATACTTAAACAGATGGATTTATTCTGATAGGCTACAAAATTATAACAAATTTAATTCTCTGACTGGTCCTTCTTATGATCTTTCACTTAATTTTTCTTCTTCAATTTCTTCCCTCTTTGAAGCTGTTGTCAGTGTGTGACCCATGTTTCATCACCCTCAAGGTGTCAACACCATTGTCATGCTGATGACTCTCAAATCTAGCCTCAGGCCTCCACATCCAAGTGCTTACAGGACATTACCACTTGGATTGTGGAGAAGCACTCCATATTCAACCAGTTCAAAAATAAATTTTTCTTCCCCACTAAATAATGTTTTTTTTCATGTTGTTTTCCATAACCTCCTTAATGGCAAGACTAGTTATCCAAGGCATAAACGTTTACCCTCAATCTCAATATCTAATTCTTTATTTATAGTCTTGTGTTTCTCATATCCATTGCCTCCTCTGCATTCCCACCTGTTCTACCAGGTAGCGATGTTGTTGTTGTTGTTGTTTGCCGTCGAGTCGGCCCCGACTCATAGCGACCCCTCCTTGGGTTTCCGAGGCAGTATCACTACGGAAGTAG